ATACAAAAAAAGTGAGAGACTGATATAATAGTTAAGTAAGTGAACTCAGACATGAGAGAATCAATTTGGAGTTTTGATATGAATCAACCCCAGCAGGAAACAACGTATCTGCAGATCTATCTAAATGCTTTCTATTTGATTACAAAGTCTCCTTTAGACATTTTTTAAAAATTCCTCTCATTTGTTCTCAGAACCAAAGTACTTCGTCAGAAAAATTTTCAACTTCAAAAAATTAATCTAATAAAAATGTATGGCTAAAAGTCACTTCACTACCACACAAGTATCTACAAAGTAACTTTTAGAGGAGCATGATATTTACAGCATGTTCTTCATTCACTATCCCTAGTCAATCAAATCATAGCTTGTTTTTTCCATCTACTCAATTCTTTCTTCATTTTTTCCTTCTGGACATAATTATGCTGTATCACACAATTAGTTTCAGTTCCAGACAAAATATTATAAGAAGCTGAACATTTCACCTTAGTATTTCATCTGCAGTATTATCAGTTTGTACATGATAAACTGTGTGTTGTTACCTCACAAGCTATCATTTCAACTTCTGCAAAGAATGAGTATCTGCACACACAAACGGCATGTTTCTGAATATATCCATACATCATTTAAAGGATGAGTGGAAAGATGTCTCTGAGAGATGTCTGTCTTAAAGAAAGAACCAAACTATAGCTCAACAGATGACAAAGTTGAAGGTCACATCACCCTGCCTTCACAAGGCACTCATTAAAACATGAAGAGAAATAAATACAACTGTACCTTGTTGGAATTGGAACTTCAGCTAGTCCCGTAAGCAGCACTGCAGGAGATAACCTAACAAAAGCGACAACCGCACGGTCCAGGAACTCCAGTTCACCAACTAAGATATTTGATGCTTCAGCTCCAGGTGGTATCTTTTTCATGAAGTGTAGGTCAACCTGGGAAAAGTGTATAACATTACAACCTAAAAGCTATTCACAGGGATTTTTTCCCTCTGGTTTATTGACAGAGACGTTCTGGTCACTGCACTATAATCTTAGTTATTTCAATTATACAGTTTCTGCTATTCCTGTCTGTTAAATATTTTTTTTTAATAAGAGCATTCCTCAAAACCAAACAACTGGTCTTTCATTATTTGACTAATTTTTCTTGGAAACATAGTTAAAGTACTGCAGAATTAATTTATAAAGACAACAAATCACATTCAAAATGTTGTTAAGAATACAGTATTAATTTCCTAGTAATACTTATTATCAATAATCAAAACAGCATCAATAATTCATAACACCATCAGTAAGTCATAACAGTAGAAGAAATGAAAACATCCTATTTTTCCATAAGTAACGATTCTGGAAATCATTAATTCATAGTTCATAGTTGCTGTATTATAATCTCAATGAGAAGAACAACAGGTTCCACTCTAAGTAATTTGTCTTCTACTGCTCTAAGTGAGATGCATTTTTTTTTTCAGATTTAATGGAAGACAGTTGTCTTGATGAAAACAACAGAAAATAAGCTATGACTATGATTGTCTCAAGAGTAAACTGAAAGAATAAAGCAGAATAAAAACTTCGGAGCTTTAAGGCAATGATGTTGACTTTTGCAAGGACGCTAGGAAAAGACAAGAGAAACAGCTTTGTCATGACATCACTATGTAAGCTAAAGGTATTTGCCTAGGAATGTCTTCATTTGTATTTATTTCCTCAGCATCAGTCTAGAGTTCACTCTGTAACAAAGATCGACATGGAGTAATAGACTATATAATGTATGTTTGATTTCATTATGCACCAGTATTGTCTACATTTCAAAATGCATGAATTTTGTCATTTGCTTTCCTTTTATTAATCTAAACACAACAACAGCAACCAAATCCAATATAAACTGTTAAAGTGGACCATTTTAATGTCTATCTTACAGCCATCTGTCAGTACTAGTTTGCATAGTTTTTGGTAATATTTAGAAAATTGTTTTCTTGCAAATGGCTCTGGCACTAAATCAGAATTCAGATATAATACAGTTGCCTGCGTAACAAAATCTTATTTTGCTGGGATCACAAAGAGATGTCTAATGCTACCCTAAGCTAATCTAGAATGATGACCAAACACCTCACAAAGTTAAACAAGCACCATATCAACCTGGAAGGTTAGAGAACAAGTACTTTTTCAAGGTAAAGTATCAGTGAGGTAAATCCTACTCCCCACTCAAATCACAACAAAACTCTTCAGGGTTAAATACAAAACACAAAAGGATTTGGGTTTGCGCCTAATTTTGGTGTCGTAAGTCATTTATAGTTGAGAGAAAGTAACCAGTCTTTCAGGTACACAGCAATGTGCATTCTGTTCTGATTAGACCTTGCGAATGGATTTAACATTAATGTCTCTCTCATCCTGCATTTGTCACCTTAAGGTCCCACTAGCGTACAGGATCACAAGATCAAGATTCAAATCTGAAAGAAACATTCAGTCTCCTGTCTACCAGAAAGTATTTCCAGATGCGTTTCCTGTACTATTTATCAGTTTGAGATTCCAAAATCTTTTAGGTAGTGAACAGAGCCCCAGTTAAAAGGGAAGTAGCTGCCAGAGAAGCATCAAAGCGGGCAAATACATCCAAACCCTGGGTGTTGCTTCCACTACATCCTTCGAATGCTTCATCTAACCTATACATCATACATCTCTTATCCCAAGAGGTCTTTAGCTAGAGAGACCTCATGTGCATCTTAATCTGCACCCTAACCTGAGCCACATTCATGACCTGGCACTGAATAGTCCCAGTAAGCTCCAATTAAACATAAAGCTAAGTAACTAATGCGGAGGCCATTCCCCTTCAGGGCAACTCAAGGACCAAAAAGAGCAGGGGGGGCCTCTCCCAGAACAAACATAAATTGACATGAAGACAAACAGAAAATACGCAACATCACTTCTTAGGAAAGCCATGACACATATTAATCAAATTTATTTATAAGCAGGGCCAACTAATATTTAAAAACAAGTCAATTATTTCACATGGCATTTGAAAGACCAAACTCTGTCAGTACGGGACCGGGGTTGGATTCAGAAATACTGTTTCCACGTAGAGCATAGAAACATTGCCATGAGAAGGGATGCGGGTGCAGTCTCTTTGTGCATTTCATATTTCAGGACAACTAGGTCTCCCTTCAGCCTCTGGCATAAGAGGCAAAGACCAGCCAGATGCAGTTGTTAAACTGCCATCCCCATCCTGCTCAGACATAGGACAAAGTGGTGCTGTAACAGATCACCTCCATATCACCCCCAGAATACAAAGTCCTCATGAGGTCCCCAGAGGAAGGAGTGACACATTTAAAAGTACAAATATCAGAAACTACGTCTCCTTCTCTGTGCTACTGAAGTAACATTTGAGACAGCTTTTAGTGCTGTGTCTCATATTATTCATAGAGACCAATACAATCAACAAAGTCTGAGTGTAGTATTCAGATTAAGTGAGCTTTTTGAACCAACTCCAAAATTTGAAATATTAGAAGTAGCCCAAGGGAGATAGATTAGCAAGGAGAGAATATGTGAGGTAGTCAAAGGTGCTTTATTGTAGAAGATAAATGAAATTAATATTTGGAACAAAATTAGAGCAAGAAACCACAATACTCAAGAGAAAATTAGCGTACTACTCTACTTTTCTCTCAATCTGTGCATATAGTTCCAATTATAACCGTTGGGAGTTATTGCAATAGCACATTTCAAGGGGAAATTGTACTATATTTATGCATATTCAAAAAGATAAATGGATCTATCTGAAGGCAGTCAAAAAGGTATTTAGATTACAATCCTTTACTGTCATTTAATTTCTGCAAACAAAAGCTGTTCCTTTCATATTTCAGACATTCTTCTTGGTATCTAACACTGCTGAGGCTAGCAAAAAGATGACGTGTCAATCTCTTCTCAGGCCAGTTTAAACAGGAAGAGCTCTTTTGATCAGCAAAGCTGCAGCACCACAAAAATAACGAGTGAAGGATCAAATGATGCAGCTTCCATTCTTGTTTAATACAAACACCATGCAACTACATAACAGACAGGGATTTTGATTCTACCACACTCAAAGCAACTGGGGAAACGTGCAAGAAAAGCACTACTGAAAGCTATGTTGTTCCCTTTGGGTTGCTAGGAGCTTCACCTCTGCACAGCTTAATTTTGAATAAACAGCTTTATTTATATTAGATATCCTTTACAAAATTTTACATCTCAATATTAGAACACTTGCCAAAAGAATTAGTCTTAGTTAACACTTTTAATGAAAATATCAGGAAACCAAAATCATACTTGACTTTTTAAAGCATTATAATTCTAGTTTTAAATATTTTTAAAGTGTTAGCATTAAATTTTTAACAATCTGTCACTGTTTCTAGGTCTCCTTGCTACCTCTGTAGAAATGTGGTCCACAATACATGCCCAGCCAGCCTCCTTTCTTCTCACTGTCTTTGACAAAAAGATCTGTTTCCTGTCTTGATTTCAGCCGTATACCATTCCCGGTTCTGGCATGTGCAGTCAAGAATTCAAATGGTGTAAATAGCTACTGCTGCTAGGAAATAAGTCTGGCACCAGATGGAGCAATCACATAACTCTACTTTCAGCTCAGCTGCACTAAGATTCAACAGACTCAAAGTGCTGTTCTTCAGAATTTTGGTTTAAATCACCTTTCTTCACTTACTCAACCTTTGTTGTATTAATGTGTCAGCTGAAGCCATCTATCCCTGTCAGGCCTGTCATCTGTATCTAATGTGACAGTTTGTTTTAGGCACGTACAGACTTCTTAAACAAATTAGAATTCTCCCTTACATTAAAACGAGAAGCTGTTTGCTTTTCTTTGCTATCTAACATTGAACTGTCATTGCAATCTCCATTACTGAACAGTTAACATCTTTTGTAAAGTGTACTGAAATATCTTGGCTTGCCAGAAGAATTAAGTTGTAGGTTTACAGAAACACATTCTGTTTGAGACATCTGGAATCCACGAGTTCAGGTTATAAAAAACGTAGTTTGCATTCATGCCTTACTTCTACAAAAAAATAAAAAACTGAGAGGTAAATCTGAATTATAAGAATTCTGAATTACTTTCCTACTTAAATAATTTTCTGTTAATTTGTAAAAATTACCCCTACAAATATACACCTATGATATTGTCATGCAATAAATTTATCTATGTTCCTAAACTGTGATTTCCTATTACCAGTAATTTATCAAGAAAACAAAAAAATCTTTTTTTAGATATACAAATTGTGCTGCAGTGCACATGAAACTTTAATGCTGAAGTAAAATCTGCACTTCACAGCTTTTTCTGATTCACATGGATTCATTTTATTTAAATTAAAAGATCTGTTTGGTAGTGAGGAAGCTCTCTTTACCACCAGTGAACACTGACCTTGCTGAAGTCAACGGTGCTGTTTTCTCTGCTCACATCGTTTTTGTTTTCAATACAGGCTGGAGCAGACTGTGGGGAAACAATCTGACCTGCTAAAAAAAGTACCGTTATTACAAAATACTAACAATTACTTCTATAAATAAAACAACATCTAATGAAATAGTTGTTAAAGAACTACATACATTTCATATCATATGTATATGAAGCATCTAAACATGGCATTTTAATTAAAGACTTATTTAGAATAACACATTCTCAAAAGACAGAACGTTTATCACGTGCAGTTAGGAATGGGAGAACGTAATTTAGAAAATGTAAAATACACTCTTGAATATTGGAAGACAAACTTTCTATGCCAATTAAAGCTTGCCATTTTTAAGAAACTACATTTGAGGAAAGTCCTGTATTCATATAGTTTTTGTAAGTAATTTGAGGAGCTGCCAATTTGGGGCAATATCTGTCTATAATACTCCTCACTGAACAAAACCAGATGACTAATTTTCATAAATTTACTCATGTGTACAAGAATGTCCTGATTATAACAACTACAAAACCCAGCATGAAAGTAGGCTGCTATAAAAACAGATGTATTGGAAATAAAGATAATTTAAAAACTCAGTATTGAACAATGTGATTATTGACATGTAAAAAACAAACGTTTCAGTAAACACGTTTCCAAAAAATTCCAGAGAGGATTTAGTAAAGTGTTATAGAAATTTTAAAAATATCTCAAAATTAGAAGTGTTTAAACACACCTCAGTCTTGTATAAGCAAACAGTAAGCCTTGTGACCAACAAAATTTTGCCAACAAAAGTTCAAAAAGAAAAACAGGATTAAGTAACAAGCATATGTCACATAAAGGATATTTTTACTTAATGCCAACGTTGCCCCTGTGCATAGTCAGAGGCCACTACACACAGACACTGAAGGTGTGGGGCTGGCAGTAGGGCAGCACACAAACCCCACAGGGTGACAGGCCGTCCCCTGCTTGCTTTCACTCCTCCTCCCTCCCTTGACACGGCAGGAGCCACGCACAGCTCCGAACACCAGAACAAAGTACAGGAAAAAGTACCAAATACACAAGCCAACTATCTCTTACTGCCCTAACACATAACCAGGAATAACAGCAGTCCAACTGGCCCAGAGTCAGCATCTCGTGCCCAGCATGTATTTGTTTCCATAGCAAATAAAATCTCTCATATGACTGAGAAATGATGATGTGAAAACATTGGTTCTGGTGAAAATCAACCTAAGCTTGCACAGTAACAAAGACCATATGTTCACAATACTTGAAGATGAAGACAGTCAGAAAGTCCTAAGCTAGGCACATTGTCTGGGCAACTCGAAAGCCACGGCGTGTCCCCTCACACCGCTGTTACACACACTTGTCGTCCAAGCATGTCCTCAGCCACAGCCAGGAAACCGAGCGCTTCACGGGATCCAGTCGGAACAGGACAGGAGACTTGCAACAGTGTCTCGACCACTGCCAAAACACTGAAGCATCCAGCTTCTGTCACAGCTCAGCACTACAGTATCCCTGTCTAAGTCTGGTCATGAATTCCCAATTGAAACACTTGCTCAAAGAAAAGGTTGGTTTTCATGAAAATCATCATCTCATTTTCCACTAGGCAAATCTCCCACGACACAAAACAGTTTTTACTCTTGTGCTGCATCCTGGTAGTATGGCCAGAGAGATTTCACTTTCATTAGGAAGTACAGGAACAGAATGTTTTAAAATGTATTGCTGGAAATCTTATTAAATGTATCATTCTTAAAAATGCAAATATTTCTATTTTCTCTCTGATTCAGGACAAGGACAGATCAAAACAAGAACAGAAATTAAGGCTTTTTTTCAGCAGCACAGTGAAATAAACAAAGAATGGAAAAAAAACCAGACAACAGACATGTTAACCTAACCAAGTAGATAAAAAATAAGTCAGGACTAGAATTTAGATATGAAAAAGAATAAAGTATTGATTTCAGAAAGTAACATATTAATATAACTTAAAGGAATAAAAAAAGGACTATTAATTCCTAGATGTCATGAGAGACAAATTTTGCAAATAAGAAACCAGAAATTATTAAATATGCAAGATGCTTATAAACGGTGATTGAATTTGTCTCTTTTAATTAGAACTTAAAGGAAAAACACTGAGCTCCATCATTGTTACACCATCACCTGTACAGTATGTACCCCATACGCTACCTCACACAGTAATTTTTTTTCTGTATTAGCAGCCTTAGAATTATTTTTACAGGAAATATCCTGTAGTATTAACTGCTAAAAAATAATTAATATATAAATTTGATTTCTGCACTATGTTGGAGATTTTAATAACGTAACAAAAAAAACTTCCACTAATTCTAACAGAGAAGCCATAAAATGCTCAGGGAATATTTCTGCCCTAACTTACTCCCAGAAAACTTTAAATCTAGTAATATGAAACCTTCTTAATTTCTTCCTTTTAAACACTACTCTGTATTCTAAGATCTATATAAAGAGAAATACCTGTAATAGTTACTCATACTAATATACATACTATGTTACAAAAATGTTACAGGAAAGTAACAGAAATAGTAGCTCATTATCTTTCTGTTGTTAATTGGGGATTTACATTTATACTTTTTCTCCCTAGACCCAAAAATTCAAGAAAATGAGAGCAGCGATATCTGCCAGGGAGATAAAAATATTGACCAACAAAGGAATCAGAGCATGGACCACTTCTTATAAATACTGAAGTTTTAACATCATAATTAGAGGTGTCAAAAGCCTCTAAGCTATTAGCTTAACAGTCCAAAGGCTAACTTTTAAACACTGTGTCCACTTTTCTTTTAGGAGAAAAATATGTAAAAATATATATAGTAGGAAATAAAAGCCACAACCAGTAAGTATGTGAAGTTGGGAAGAATAGCATATGTTCTCTTTTCTGTGCCAACAGAAGACCTCAAACTTTGATTTACCCATATGCTGGAGTAATTTGAAAGAATACAGGTTTTACCTTGAGGCAGTAAGAGATGTTTAAATAGCTCTGCAACTTAAGACACCTTTTCTGGACGCTGGAACAAGAAGCTTGATTTTTTTACTGCATTAAATAACAATCAAAGATACAAGGTAGGCAAGACAGGTAATTTCACTTTTCACATTACAGGTATGGTTTTTTAAAGAACATCTTAAACACACTGCAGGAACGCATGTTTCTTATGCAACCATACAGTCAGTAAAACCTGAATCTGAAACTTGGTCTCTGTGTGGCACTTCAACAGAAAAGCAACAACAAAAAGTGCTGTGTTTTGGAGAGATTTTTGCCCCTATACATGTTTAGTTTGTTAAATGCCTGTGTATTTTGCACTACATAGTAGGCAGATGCAGTGCTATGGTGGCCCTCTCCCTAGGAGCAGGACTGCAATCATACACCATTAGTTTTAATAGTTGGTAGCTTCCTCTACTTCTAAGCTATGAAGCCACAAAATCTCATAAATTAATTTAGTTTTGTCTATAATTTCACATTGACTTAAAGGAGACATCTTTGGGGTGAATGCTGTGAAGCACATGAGTAATTCTCAACGGGGTAAGACCAAAGCATACTGATAACAACCTAGTGAACACTGGCATCGCCACGCTACACCGGTTTTCCAATGTCATTAAAAATGTTCCATTTGCTAAAGCATGTTCGCAACTATGTATCTGCTTTATCATTAAGTCGCTTTTAATTTCAGCAACTGATTGTTTTCTCAAAACAAAGAGGACAGTCACTAGCACCATGATGGTCTCATGAAGCAATCAATTAAAGAGCTATGTGAATGAAGAGAGGAACTGTCACATCATACCTAGGCTAAAACAAACAAAAATAAAGCATTTCCTCTCTGATTTCCACCAAAACATCAACAGTCACCACTGTACCAAACTGCCTCTGGAACATAGGTACACTAAATCCAAGTTTCCCTCCAAATCTCATCTTTACAATATGAAAGCCTTCAAAGCACTATATGCAGAAGGAAAAAGAAAAAAATCAAACCAAAAAAACCCCACAAACTAACACCAAACCCTGGTCAGGCTTTAAACATCTGCTCTGAGAAAACCACTTCTGATCGTTTATCACTTCTTTGAGTTGGCAATGTGGGGCTTCGCTTGGTAAGAATGGTGAAGGCATAAACTACCAACTCCCTAATAAGAAGGAACAAGAGCAGCAACAGCCTTGTCATTTATTCAGCTCTTCCATGCCCTGTCCTTGCCAGTTCCAGTTCAGCTGTCTCAAGAAAAATGTTTATTTACATATTGTATGGGGTAAACACAGTATTTTATTTTTTAAGAGTGCAATGTAGTACTTTCGGTCCTTATAGATCTAAAGTTTTAAAACCTTGATTTATCCTGCAGTACATCTACATAAAGCACCTGAAGAGCTGCATTCTTTAAGAAATCATCAGTGCACCATTCAGACTTTTTAAAGTATCAGTCAAACAAATGCACAATGTGGTATCATTGAACTATCCAGTCTACATACATAGGAACTTAATACCTAACGGATAAAACCACGTTAAAATGTGTGCTAAGGATTATCTATGTATTAAAAATTCAGTATCAGTAGAGTTTTTAAAATGTTAAATTGATGTACATAAAAAATTAGTGTTTTTTTCAGATAATGTGAAATTGCCAGACCTTTGAACAGAGCAAAAATTCACACAAAAAATAGTCATGCAAAGCCAAGCCACTTAAAAATCGAAATCCATCAAAATAAGGTCCATATTTCTTACACTAATAGAAGTTTGCATTTGCAGCTAGAGCTCAGCATTTTGAGACTATTAGGCCTGCCAAATTAAAAAAAAAAAAAAACACAACAGTAAATTAATGTCACATGCAACATACTCGTACTCTCTAAAATTTAAAGCTCAAGACATTTAACTACGTGTGTTGTATTTATTAATCAAAATCCAAGAGGTCTCTAGAATGCCAATGACAAAAACCAAGAACAATGTATTCAGATACAAATCACAGTTAATGGAAACAAACTGGATGTGACTGACACGTCAAAAAAAACTGAATCAGAAAATAAGTTGCTTATTTTTCTAGACCATATAGATTTCTTCCCCT